AGAGAGAGAGAGAGAGAGAGAGAGAGAGAGAGAGAGAGAGAGAGAGAGAGAGAAATTGCATGCCCACAATGCCTACAGTACCAACTGTACTTATTTCTCGACTTCACTTTCTTTGATGACCTGGGTCAACAGGTGAGGATAACAAAGAGGAGTAGCCCCAAAGAAAGTCTTGTTTCATAATCTCTGTGATTGTGAATATACATGAATGTGACTGTGAACATGTGTGGGAGCAATGAGACCACCTTGATCCTCCTTGGAAACTAAGAACACCCCTGCTTCTATGGACGTCAAGAACAGAGGAAGCCCATGTTTAATGAGACCGACTATTTCATTATCTCTTTTAATCTTATGATAATCCTAGAAAACAGGGGTTTGATTCCATTTATACTGTAGGAATATAATCTTTATTTTTTAATTGACTTTTCAGCATGCAGGGAATCTATGGGGTATGGGAGGTATGGCTTTGGAATTATCCCTGGTTCTATCACTTACTAGTAATTTGAACTTTTGCAAGATCTCAACATGAAAAATGATGATGATTATATCTACCTTGCAGGGTGGTTGAGAAGATTCAAGATATTGTGTGTAAAATAGCTGTTTAATATATGTAGATTCAATTGTTATTCACCAGGTCTTTGTTGACCAAGCTGACACCAGGTTTTGTGCTCAATAAAAGGTCTGGTGAATAAAAATCTATGCCTATAATTGAGTACCAGTTTACATAATTAGAAACATAAATCAGATTGCGCCTGCACTTTGCAGAAGTTTACAGTCTGGCTGGAGACACAAATGAATATGAAACAAAATACAAGCATGTAAATTATCTATAATAAAGATATTAACAGAGCATACAAGTCTCTGAGGCAGAAATATTTAATTCTGCCTCAAGGAACTGAGAAAGTTTCATGATAATGAGGGAATACTTGAGCTGAATGAAGAGGTAGCAATCATAGTGAACCTGGTGGGAAAGAAAAGGAGCAAAAGTTCAAATAGAGGAAACTGTGAGGCATAAAATGACATGAAATGTTCTGCAGAAAGTAAGTACAAGGAGCCAGAAACAGAGTGACAACTGGGTCACTATCTGGAGCTGCACTGTCCAGTGGAAATACACAGTGACTATGTATGTAGTTTAAATTTTTCAATAGTCTTATTAAGAAGATAAAAAGAAACAGGTGGACTATAATTAATAAATATATTTTACTTAAAATATCTAAAATGTTATTATTTCAACATGGAATCAATATTTTAAAAGCATTGATGCTTATATTTTTCACTAGTCTTAATACTAAGTCCTTGGAAACCCAGTCTTATTCTGACAGCAATCTCAGTTTGGATGAGCCACATTTCAAATGCTCAGTAGCTACATGTGGCTACTTTGTTAGACAGTTTCATAGAAATTAAAGAGCCTGGAGCATCGGGTCAGAACCATGGACAGTAACAACATTTAGGTGGAGGAAACATGGAAGTTCTAGCAAGACATCTTGCAGGAGGCTGGAGGAAAGGAGCTTTTCAAAAGTCATTTCTAAAGACAGACGTAGTACCTTTCACTCACAGACTTGGTCATCCTCCA